CCCGGGGGGGGAGCGGGGTGCTGCAGGAATGGGGTGCCACCGAAACGGGGCACCGCCAAAAACGGGGTGCCACCTCCGCTCCTACCTCAGCTTCCCGATGAAGTTCTCTCCCCCCCGCGACAGGTCGGTGGGGTCGATGGAGATGAGGTAGTTGGAGGTTTTGCTCTTCTTACGCTTCCTCCCAGCGAGGAGGAAGACCTGGGGGGGTGGTGGGGCCATGTGGGGATGGGGCATCGGCATCGCCGCCGCTGTCCCCGGCTCGCCCCCCCCCCCGTCCGGCCCAACAGGTCACGGCCATGACCTTGCACAAGTCATGGATCATCTTCAATCCCCAAAACACCAAGGGAGCCGTGGGATGTGGGAGTCAGAGCCCAGCCCGGCATTAGCGAGGCTCTCCGGCTCATCGTCCCAGGTACCATCGACACGAGGCATTTCCCAAGAGGAATGGGAGGGGAGCAGCCCCCTCCAGGACCCACCACCACGGTGGGATGCAGGTGGGCACCCCCCCAAAGCCCTGAGGGTGCTCCCCGGGGTGGGTGCAGAGCCCCGGGGGTCTCCATACCCCCACTCCATCTCACCTTCTTCTCGTTATCCAAGTGGAGGTAATAGGTGGGGTAAAGCCCCCGGTCCATCCCTTTCTTGTCCCGTGTCACCCGGCACTTGATGGTCACTCCCTGCGGCGCCGGTCGCAGCACGAACTCCTCCAGGTTGTCCACTTCGATGACGGGCGACGGGGGCCTCTCCTCCTTCGTCTGCAACACGTGGTGGCTTTGGTGGTGGCCCCAAAGCCAAACCTGCCAAAATCTCCCCTCCTTTCCCAGCTAATCGCCCCTTGTTCCCGACCTCCCCCCAGGCTGCGGCTCTGCAACCGGTGGCTTTAGGGACGGTGCTGCAGCGGGTCCCCCGGGGGAATGCTCCAGCCCCCCCTCCCCGACCCACTCTGCGTCCCCAAGGAGACCCCTGCAGCTCTGGGGTGGGGGGTGGGGGGGTCATACCTTCTTTGATTTTTTCCCTTTGCCCTTCTTGTTGGAGTTTTTCTGCGGGGTCTCCGGGGTCTCCTCCTCGCTCTCGGCTGCTTTGGGAGGAGCTGCGGGCAGGAATGGGCAGGGGCACAGGGGGGGGAAGACCCTGACTCTGCCAAACCCCAAAACCGAGCTCAGCATAGACCCACGGCATCTCCATCGATCATAACCCCGTTCTCCATCGCCAGGCTCCCCCACACTCCCTCGAGCCCCTCTGGCACCCTCCACCCTCCATCGCATCGCCGGTGCCGGGCTCTCACCTTTCTTTTTGCTTTTCTTCTCCTTAGGGGGGTCCCCACCAGTCTGGAAGAGGGACGCCGGGTTTTTCTTCTTCTCGGACCTGATGGGTTTGGTGCTGGAGTCAGAATCGTCCTCCTCATCGCTGCTGGTGGCGGCTGGGGGGGGACATGGGGGACGCTGTCACACGGCACTGGGTACTGCTGTTTTGGGGTGATGCCATGGGGCAGCGGGACTGGGTGCCGCCCCTCCACTTGCCCCGTACCTTTCTTCTTGCTTTTCTTCTCCTTCTTCTCCCCGTTCACCTGGAACATGGACATGGACTCCTTCTTGGTGCTTTTGGCAGATTTGGCTTTGCCGTCGGGGTCACTCTTGTCTCCTGGTAGGACGGAGGAGCCAATGAGTGACCAGACAGAGGTGACAGGGGACAGGGAGGTGGCAAGGTGGGGGCAGCAAGAAGGGGTGAGCTGGGGGGCGATTGCACAGGGAGGGGGCGATCGCCCCGCAGCCCCTTGAGCCCCCCGGGACAGCAGTGGGGATGGGATGTAGGTGGTCCCCTCGTCCCAGCAAGGTTGGGATGGATGCAAGTGGCAATGGGGCCAGGCTCCAGCTGTCCCCGTCCCCCGGGCTCTCACCCTTTGGCTTCATCTTCTTCTCCCGGCTCTCACCCGAGGGCGGCTCTTTGGGCAGCTTCTTCTTGAGCTTTTTCGGCGGGTCTTTATTTTCCACCTCCTCTTCCTCCTCCTCATCCTCTGAGTCCTCGGCTGGCTCTGCCCGAAGGGGACATCGTGGCATCAGCAACACGATGGCCTCTTGCACCGGGGACCCTCAGCCCCGTGCTCTGCGAGAAGGGACCCTCCGTCGGCAGCGCCGGCCGGCGTGGGGACCCATCCTCGCC